AAAAAAAATAAAAAGGAGGGAGGAATGTGTCTGTGAACTGGTAGTGTTCCTTTACATAGTCATCCTGATAGCCCATGATCTTAGAACAGACCCTAGTACCTAAAGATTGAATGCGACTATCAGATGTTCTGAAGTTCTCTTTGAGAAACAGACATTAAAGTAAAACAGAGAAGACGGGCCTTCACCGGTGGTCCAGTGGTTAAGTTTTGCACTCCCAATGCAAGGGGTACAGGTTAGATCCCTGGATGGGGAACTAAGATTCCGAATGCCAAGTGGTGGGGCGAAAAAAAAAAAAGAGAGGGAGAGAAATAACTAAAAAAAGACAAGAAAACATAGCAGAATGGCTGAGAACACAGGCTCTACAGACAGATTATGGTTTTGTCATTTAGGCTTTCGTTTGTTATTTGACAAACATTATGCCATTTGTCATTTAGGTCAAGCAACCTCAGTTTTCCCAGCCTCAAAATGGGGCTAAAAATAGCACCCATCTTATGGAATGTTATAAGCATCCAGGTGGTGTTGGACCCACAGGCTTTACCATGATGCCACACTCAAGAAGTGATGGCTTCCCTTCAGATGGTTTTCATTTTTACAAAGCTTTGGGTAAAAAAGGTGCAGAGGAGGACATGAAGTTGCCTATAACCTCATCCCCTAGCAATTGCCTCTGTAAAATTTTTTGACGTAAATCCACGTATTTCCACATGCAGAACCTATATAGGCTTTTTTCACTCAGCATCCTCTGTGATCATTTCCCCACCCACCCCTGTAAATAGTTTCTTTTAAAAGTGATATTTTATAACATCCGATGGAATGCTATGCACTGTAATTTAGAAAATACCTTGTTTCTCCAGATTATTGCCATTATTTTTTTTTTTCCTGTTACAAACATTGTTATGAATAATCTTCTATCTCTGTGGGTACCTTAGATTGTTTCCTGGGATGGGGGAATTGCTGAGTCAAAGGGCATGTGCATTTTTGAGGTTTTTGACACCCACTGCCAAATCGCCTTCACAAGGTGGTGCTCACTTAAGTCTCCTGCAGCAGAGCAGGGAACCCCCGGGAGCCCCCCCATTCACTTCTCCCTGGTGATGCTGCTTGGGTTATTCACAGAGGCAACAGTTTCTCCCATCTCTACTCTCTGTTTTTCTTTTCTTCCCCCCTTTGTTTCCTTTCTTGGTTTTCTGCCAAACAGCCTCTTGTGAAAGGACCGCCTAATTAACCCTGTGCTAATTAACAATTTAAAATTACACAGTGCGACTGTTGGTGTTAATTCTCCAGGAGCTGGAGCAACAGCAGAGCCCCCTCCCCTTCCTCATAACTGCACCCCCTGTAACTTCACCAGCTTCCCCGTAACTCTTGCATGGAGCCCTGGCCTGTCTCCTTAAGGGAGAGTGATAAAGCTGTCACATCACGTCTTCTCAGTTGAAAGAGGGAGATGGATGACTTTGTTAATGGGGGGCCCCCGGGATAACAGGGTGGAGTCTTACCATCTTTTAACCGTCTTTGAAAATTAAGGACTGAGACTGGCAAAGATGCAGGGGTTTTACAGGGAGGTTCAAGGAAACTCTAACCTGTGAGAGGAGCAAGAACGGGGGAGGGGTTCCTGATGAAAATGTTAGAACTTTTCTGCACAAGAGGACTTTTCAAATGGAGGAAGGCACTCAGCAGAGAGTGTGCGAGTGCTGGCTCACTCCTGTATCTTCCCTTTAACTCTCTTACTGAAGAGATGCACTCTGTTGAAATCTAACTGAATTCTTAAAACTGCCACCACCAAAAAAAACCCACCAAAAACCGCCCCCCCCCAAACCCATGCTGAGTCCAACACTGGTGGTCTTGGTTTTAAAGGGGATTCAAGGGTGCAAATGGCTGGAGAGGAGCAGGTGGCCAGAAGGGGTGAGGGTTTGTGGTGTGTGAGCCAGCCCCAGCCATACCGAAGGATGAGGAAGGGGTGCAGAGCCGGGGGTGGGGGGCCGCCTGTAAGAGCACGGGGACCTGCTGGGTTCCCAGGCTGCCCTCTGTAACGGAAGATCATTGATTTTACGGGAAACCATGTTTACAGACAGAGTGCTGATCGACCTCGAGTTGACTTCTGCCTCCTTAAGTAAGAACTACCTTTTTCTTATTGACTGGCTGATAAACAGAGCGAAAGGAACTGCTGGCTGGCCGGGTGGGAGGGTGAGAGAGGGCCTGAGGTCCTGGGGCCCAAAGGTGGGGCAGCGTTAAGAGATTCCTGCATCTCTGTGCTCTGGCCCTCTCCTGGCCCCCCATCCCTGCACCTCCCAGGGACTGGTGAGTGAGCCCAAGACTGACCCTGCCTGATCACCTGGCAGCACAGGCTCCAAGCGCAGAGGAGCAGCGATCTGTCCTAAAGCAGAGTGTCTCACTCAAGCTTTAGTAATGCACAGGCCCTGGGGACGGTATTAAAAATGCAGATTCTGATCTGGGGTAGGGCTGAGAGCCTGCATTTCTCACAGGCTCCCTGGTGAAGACGGGCTCTTTGGCCCTGAACCATACGTGGCTTAGCAAGGTGGCAAAAGCCGTCTGCTTACCCTGGCCAGAAGGCACTGAGAGGAAGCCCAGAGCAGGTGCTTGGGATCCCGAGTGGGCTCCTTTCCCACCAGCATCTCAGTGGGCTGTTGCCCCCTTGCGAATGAGGGGTCCCCTATGTGTGCTCCCTCATGGGGCACGTGTCACCACCACAGGGTGTCTGTCTTTGCCCATAAGGTCATCTTTTCTTGACACCTTTTGCTGAGGAATAGAAAACAAAGTTGGGTGACTTTTAAAAAGTCCCAGTCCTTTAACCAGATGATTTACGGAGGAGGAGGAGGAAGAAAAGAGCAGAGCAAGAAAAGCGCACCAATTAATTGGTAAACGCTTTGCAGATTTCTCAGCCCAGTCCAGGCTGGAGAAGAGATTGGCTTTGCTGTCAATACCCAAGTCCCTGGTGAAGCATCAAAGCTGTTCTCCTTTATCAATCGTGGCCTCCCCTTCCCGCATGTTCCTGTAACTTACCAAGCATTTATGACATTGATTTTACAATTGGGCTGTTAACCCTCCCGCCCCTTCAGGCCTGCCAACCTTTTTGGCCCAAGCTGTCAATCAGATGTCATCCAGCCAATCACACACGTCCTTAGGGAAGAGCCACCCTGGATTCTCACCTGTATCCCAACTGAGCCTTGTGAGGATGTCTCATCGCATTTGCTGTTTGGTTTGGTTTAGTGTAGTCGTCTTTGTTTAAAATCAATATATCTTTTCTAAGGCACATGAAACTTTGTTGTAATGGAATTTGAGGTTATAAGCTGAGAGCTGGTGTGTGTGCACGCGTGTGTTTGTGTGTTACAAACAAAACATGACATATTCTTCCAAAAAGTTGTTTCTCCTGAAACTTCTGGTAAACCTGCTTTCCCCATCTTTTCCCGAGAGGGAGCTATTGGCTCACTGTGCGGTCGAGAATCAAGCAATGAAAAAAAGAATGGGAAGATGGGGGGGGGTTGGGGGGAACAAACCCAGCCAAAACCTTCATCCACTGTGTGTGAATGAGATGGTGGGTGGAGAAGCAGCCAAGTCTTCTCCAGGAAGGAGGCGTGGTGGGGAGGGTGGCCTGGGATTCACAGCAAGCACTCTAAAAACCTTGCGAGGCGCTGAGTCGCCTGTAGGAGCGGGGCCAGACGGAAGAAACGCTCCTGTGATGTTGTTGTCACAGGAGCAGAGCAGAGGCAAGCGATCTAATGTCTCCCTCCCCAGGGATGTGAGGTCTCAGAGGGCAGATTGAGCTCAGTGGCACTTTGGAGTCGGAAACGGAAAAGCCCCAGGGCTGAAGGACAGCTGCTTGGGTAACGACTAATAAGTAAGAGGCAGGTGTGGAGCTGGGGCTGGCGGAGCCCAGCTGCCATCTCGGCTCGCTGTGAGATCCTTGACAGCAAAACCCACTCAGTCAGTGGTGAACGGGCTCCATTCAGGCAGGGTGAGATCCTCCCTGCTGGCGGCGGACTCGGCCCACTGAGAGTCTGGGTAGATCTTCCTAGAAACATCACGCTCATGTTTTGCACCTCTGTATTTTAAGTCTGAAGCCAGCTGAGTCACAAGCAAGGGTATTCTGTGGGTTGTGGGGGGGAGATGGGAACTGGGAACACCACCTTTCTCAGTGTCCCAGTGGCTTTGGAGTCATTTTTCAGATCTAGGGCCTCAGTTTTACTGCTTGTAAAATGAGATGGTGTTTTCAAGACTGGGACAGGGTGAATGTAGCCATGGGGCCTTTGAGGGGCTTCACAGAGCTCGCCCAGGCCTGCACACTTGCCCTTGACCCCTGCAGCTCTCAACCACTTCTCCGTGAATTTCTCAAACTAAAAATGTGGACAGTAAGAGCAAGAGCACAACTTCGCTTCTAAATCAAATGGCATGTCCCTGCCCAGGTTCATCATCCTTTCTCTAGGGCTGCAAAATCATCTTTCTCCTGTACGTCTGTCTGTCCCAGGTGTTCCCCTGGCCCACAGACAGTGTGGGCGACAGGGGTGGCTTTGTGTTGCCATCTGTATGTGGTGGGGCCACTGTTCTGTGTCCCGGCAAGTTGAAAACAATCCTTCTCCTGACCCCTGCCTGATCGCTGGGCCCTGACTCTTTGACGCTGTGCTTGCAAAGAACTCAAATTCAAACTGGTCTCCAGGGGTGCAGCAGCTGACAGTCTGGACAGAAAGGGCTTCTCCTGACGCCCCTTTCCCCACCCCCCCTCCTCCTGTGACACCCAGGGGCACCGCCCGCCCGCTGAGCCTGGACGGGGTGGGGCGACGGCCCGGGGTCCCCGCTGCCCCGCCGTCTCTGTTGTGGGTGTGGAAGACAGAAGCCTGCCAGGGCAGAGTGCTCTGTGCAGGACCTCAGCCTCGGCCCTCCTAACCTCTTTCCTTTCTCTCTCTCTTCCCCCCTCTCTCCCTCCTCTCCCCTTGCCTCCGCCCTTCAGGTCCAATCCGTACTGGGTGCAATGAAAGCTCCACGCAGGCCTTACCATGGAAGGCTGTGACTCGCCCGTCGTCTCGGGGAAGGACAATGGGTGCGGTATCCCTCAGCACCAGCAATGGACTGAACTCAACAGCACCCACCTCCCCGACAAACCCAGTAGCATGGAGCAGCCCACAAGCGAGAGCCACGGGCCCCTGGACGGCCTGAGGGCCCCCTTCAATGAGCGCCTCGCGGAGAGCACCGCCCCGGCCGGGCCCGTCGCCGAGCCCGCCGCCGCTGCCGCCGCCGGCAAGGAGGTCAGCTGCAACGAGTGCTCGGCCTCCTTCGCCAGCCTCCAGACCTACATGGAGCACCACTGCCCCGGCGCCCGGCCCCCGCCGCCGCCGCCTCCTCCGCCCGTGAGGGACGAGAGCGGGAGCGACAGCAGCGAGGAGGGGGATGAGGAGAGCGACGTGGAGAACCTGGCCGGGGAGATCGTGTTCCAGCCGGACGGCTCGGCGTACATCGTCGAGAGCCTGAGCCAGCTGACCCAGGGCGGGGGCGTGGGCGGCGGCGGGCCTCTCCCGTCGCTCTTCCTGAACTCTCTCCCCTCCGCCGCCGCCGCCGCCTCGGGGGGCAAGCAAGGGGACCCTTCCTGTGCGGCACCCGTCTACCCCCAGATCATCAACACTTTCCACATAGCCTCATCCTTCGGGAAGTGGTTTGAGGGCCCAGACCAGGCTTTCCCGAATACCTCAGCCCTGGCGGGGCTCAGCCCCGTCCTGCACAGCTTCCGCGTATTCGACGTGCGACACAAAAGCAACAAGGATTACCTAAACAGCGACGGCTCTGCCAAAAGCTCCTGCGTATCCAAAGATGCTCCCAACAACGTGGACCTGTCCACCTTCGATGGCTTCGTGCTCTACGGCAAGCGGAAACCCATTCTGATGTGTTTCCTGTGCAAGCTCTCCTTCGGCTACGTCCGTTCGTTTGTGACCCACGCGGTGCACGACCATCGAATGACCCTGAGTGAAGAGGAGCGGAAGATTCTTAGCAATAAGAACATCTCCGCCATCATCCAAGGGATTGGCAAAGACAAGGAACCCCTCGTAAGTTTTCTGGAACCAAAAAACAAAAACTTTCAACTCCCTTTAGTTTCCACCGCTAACCTCATAGGCCCCGGACACAGTTTTTATGGGAAATTCAGTGGCATTCGAATGGAAGGGGAGGAGGCTCTCCCCGCCGGCCCCACTGCCGGCCCCGAGCAGCCCCAGGCGGGTCTCCTGACCCCCAGCACCCTCCTGAACCTTGGCGGGCTCACCAGCTCCGTCCTGAAGACCCCCATTACCTCAGTCCCCCTGGGGCCTCTGGCCTCCAGTCCTACCAAGTCCTCAGAGGGCAAGGACTCTGGGGCAGCAGCAGGAGAGAAGCAAGAAGTGGGTGATCCGGACTGCTTCTTGGAGAAGGCGGAGCCTGCCGAGGAGGAGGCGGAGGACGAGGAGGAGGAAGAGGAGGCGGAGGACGAGGAAGAGGAGGAGGAAGAGGAGGAGGAAGAAGAGGAAGAGGAGGGCTGCAAAGGACTCTTTCCAAGCGAGCTGGACGAGGAGCTGGAGGACAGGCCCCCCGAGGAGTCTGGGGCCGCGGCAGGTAGTAGCAGCAAAAAGGACCTTGCTCTCTCAAACCAAAGCATTTCTAACTCCCCCTTAATGCCTAATGTGCTCCAGACCCTGTCCAGGGGCACAGCTTCTACTAGTTCTAATTCCGCTTCTTCCTTTGTTGTCTTTGATGGTGCGAACAGGAGGAATCGTTTAAGCTTTAACAGTGAGGGCGTCAGGGCCAACGTGGCAGAGGGCGGCAGGAGGCTGGACTTTGCTGATGAAAGTGCCAATAAAGACAATGCCACAGCACCAGAACCAAATGAAAGCACAGAGGGGGACGAGGGGGGCTTCGTCCCCCATCACCAGCACGCTGGCTCCCTCTGCGAGCTCGGGGTGGGGGAGTGCCCCTCGGGGAGCGGCGTGGAGTGCCCCAAATGCGACACGGTCCTGGGCTCCTCCCGCTCACTGGGCGGCCACATGACCATGATGCATTCTCGCAACTCGTGCAAGACACTCAAGTGCCCCAAGTGCAACTGGCACTACAAGTACCAGCAGACGCTGGAGGCGCACATGAAGGAGAAGCACCCGGAGCCGGGGGGCTCCTGCGTCTACTGCAAGAGCGGGCAGCCCCACCCCCGGCTGGCACGAGGCGAGAGCTACACGTGCGGTTACAAGCCTTTCCGCTGCGAGGTGTGTAACTACTCCACGACGACCAAAGGCAACCTCAGTATCCATATGCAGTCCGACAAGCATCTCAACAACATGCAGAACCTGCAGAACGGCGGGGGGGAGCAGGTGTTCAGTCACACAGCTGGGGCGGCGGCGGCCGCGGCGGCGGCGGCGGCGGCCGCGGCCAACATGGGCAGCTCCTGTGGGGCCCCCTCGCCCACCAAACCAAAAACCAAGCCCACCTGGCGGTGTGAGGTGTGCGACTACGAGACCAACGTCGCCCGGAACCTGCGCATCCACATGACCAGCGAGAAGCACATGCACAACATGATGCTGCTGCAGCAGAACATGACCCAGCTCCAGCACGGCCGCCACCTGGGCCTGGGCGGCCTGCCCCCGCCCGCCGAGGCCGAGCTCTACCAGTACTACCTGGCGCAGAACGTCAGCCTGCCCAACCTGAAGGTGGACAGCGCGGCCCCGGACGCCCCGTTCGTGATGAGCGGCTTCCAGCTGGACCCCGCCGGGCCCGTGGCCGCCATGACGCCCGCTCTAGGTGAGGCTGCCCCGTGTGTGTCTGTCCTGACCGATGGGAGTGAAACCGGGGGAGGACGCTTGCGCGGGCAAAGGTCCCCGTCGACTCTGTTGAGTCCCGTGGATGTCATGAATCTTTACTCTCTCTGAGAGTCGTTCTGTGCTCCGCTCGAGCATCCGGTCATCACATCTTTTTTTTTCCCCTCTAGAATCCCTTGAACTCTTGTGTTGAGCCTGTGGACAGTGGTTTGGGTTCAACGTAAGAAACATGTGCCCTCCAGCTCCACAAATGTGTGGCGAAGTTTGAGTGTTTCCTCTAGTATCTGGCTCTGGGTCAACTTTTCTTCCTGTTCCCATCCCCCTCTTTATCTGTCCCTTTCTCTTTTTGAAAAATTACCACAATTCCCCTCAACTGGTAGGTTCCGTTAAACAATTATTGAGATGTACAGGAAAGTGTCACTGCAGTTTTCAATAGGGACAGTCACCTCTGAAAGAGCATCTGAGAACTGTGGTGTAACTTATTTAAATAAGCCAGGTCTGGTTGTGAGCAGACCAGGAGCTGCCCACATACGTCTCCCAAAGTTCTCCAGTGTTGTTACTGGGATCTTGATGCTTTAAAGAGGCAGGTTCTTTATATTACCTTGCGTGAGTTGCCAGTGATTAGTATAGTTGGGAATCGGTTGACCTGGGAGACACCGTGAGGAGTGATGTGATAGATGAGTAATGGATAAATTCTAAAATTGCACATTAAAGAAAGCCTGGTTTTAGTATCACATCCTGGTTGACAGAACCTTTGTTGTCATGGAGTACATGGCTTCGTGCTGGAAGACTGTCTTACCCGTTGGCTTCATTGAGCCAGAATGGGACCAAGAGGACAGGATTTGGATGCCAAAAGCCATGACTCTTCATGTAAAAAGAACCGTGACCGCTTCTAGGGAAGAGCTTCTATAGCAAGCGAATGTACAGACCAGTTTCATGAGCACCAGTGTGGTGGTTGGGCCCCGCCTGCCCCAACTACACAAGCCTGGTCTCCGTTCCCTGACCCAGGTAACCTCTTGAGACCAGCAGTGATGTCCTGAATGACACAGGACCCCCTTACTGACATGGGAGTAAGTCATTCTCGGCGACAAAGCATGAGCAAGCACCTTTATCCTCGAATGGCTCTGATTCACACAGAGGGCTAAACCTCCCCAGTGGGCACATCTTTATTTGTGTGGTCTTTCAGTGCTAATTGCTGCTGATGAGTTATATTTCACGGCATTTAATTTGTTTTTCCTGCCATGCATTTAAATTTGAATCCTGGCAACTTTAATCTTGTTCTCCGTTTTGGAACATTGACTCGTTGATCCTTTCTTACCAAGTGGTTTGAAGATGTTTTACCCACTGATCAATCACGGATGCACAGGAATCAGTCATTCTATTTGTCCCAAGAGTGACCCATGGGGCTTGCACACCTACAAGTGGCATCAGTACTCAGAAAGACTGTACTGTTTTTAAAGCCTACGGGAATTGGGATTTTCTTCATCTGGAGATTTAGAATCTTGGGGAAGCAGGTCTTGGAGTAAATCAAATGTAATGTAAGTGGAATGAAGACACAGAAAATGGATGGGTTCATACTGGGTCAAAGTGAAGACTTTTTAATTACCTTGAAAACCAGTAATTCTGACTGAGGCTTGAATTGAGTGGTAGATAAATAGTTTGCTTTTATCACCTACTGTCTGTGAGTCTGCGGGACACCGTGCATCGTGAGCAGAGGGCAGATGTGAAAGATAGAAACGAATCCTTGTGTCCTGCACATACATAAAAGATCCGGACTTTATTTCTTAAAGAGAATAGTGTTCGAAAGACCTTATCCTGGTAGTCATGGAGGGCCCTTGAATTTCCAGCATCACTGCTTGGCAGTCGAGGTGAGTCCCTGAACACCTCCCGTGCCTGCCTTAAGCCATGAGCACTGTTGAGATGAGGGTGAGAGTGACGAAAATACTTGATGCCAGAAGCCTGCGTGCCTGTGGGAGTGATAGAATGTGTCCACTTGGACCAGTTATTTCAGTCGTAGGAGGTCAGCAGAAGGCAGTGTAGGCAAATAGAAACAGCATAGCTTTCAGTTCCGTGTGCAGCCCGGCTGATTGGTCCTTAGGCCTGCTAGGAGAAGGCTGTGGGCGTTATTAGGCATTACTGGGCTCTACAGGGGGAAGTAATGGTTTTGAACTACACTCCTGCTCACAAAGTCAGTGTTCTCTTCCTCTCTTTGATGGAACCGCCACTGATCCTGGGGGACGCGTGTGTTCTAGACACCCTCAAGGAGAAGCGCAGCACCATTGGTCTGGTCTGCTTGAATTTGCCTCTATCTGTAGGTGAGATGTTAGACTTGAGTCCAGATGACCATCTTTCCAGACATCCATTTGGATTATATTTTAGCACAGCATGGAGCAATGGGTGGCTTGCCGAGGTACCTACGTGTTTCCTGAGTAGTCAGCTGGCCATAGGACATTTGCACCAGGTTAAGAACTCCTTTGATTCTGCTTTTGATTGTAGGAGGTGTCTTTTAATCCCTGTCTCTCTCTGAGGATGTGCTCAGGGCAGAACTCTGTGCCACGCTGTCAGTCTCCAGCCTTAAGGTTAAATGTTGGGGGAGATGGGGTCCCCCCCTTCTCCAAGACCATCCGTCTGGTGTGACTCAAGAGTAGGAATCCAGTAAGTTCTCTGCGCGTGCTCTCTCCCCCCACCTGACCTGCCTGTGAATTGGGTGAGGTTTCTCCACTTCTTGGGGACTGAATTTGTTCCTTCCAGCCCTGTGGATGTGTTGGAGCCCAAGCCCTGTGTGTGTTTCTCCAGGGTATAGTTCTCAGAGGGAGTTTTGGCTTTCCCATCATCCCCATTTCACTGCTTCTCTGCTCCTGTCTTAGATTTGCATTTCATTTTAAGAGCTTGGGATGGCAACAGGGACTTATTTTGTTTGTGTGTTCCGAGGACTTCTCACTTTCACTCAGGCACCAAGCAAGTGACAGCTGAATTTCTCTTTGGAGTGGTATTGATGTGTTGAGGTTAAATTTTAAAACTGAAGAAGATTTGATGCTTCAGGTGGTCGACATCAGAAACAAATATATGTTTGCTCCTTGTCTTACCCTCCGGGCAGTTTCTGCTTTCACTGAACATCGAGTGTGTTTTGTGGATGCTGCCTGGCCTGCATCCCTATTAAGGGATGGAGCTTTTAGGCTTTTTTCCCCCCATCTCTTTTTCTCTCTTGTCCTAAGAAGAATGTCATAGCTATGGCTCCTCTCACCAGGGGAGATGGCAAGAGAGAAGGCAGGCAGAAAGCTTCCAGGGTCTTCTGGCACGCGTATGCAAAAGATTTCTGTGGCTTGTTAGACTGTCTGCAGGCTTCAAATCCTGCCACTCTGCTCAGTTGAGCCTGGATTGAGCTCCTCACTCAGAGTACCTCATACAGCAGAAGTAAGAAAAAAAATTTTTTAAATAGCAACATCTTTTCTTTGATTAGCCACTAAGTTGGATTCTAATCAGTCATTAAAAATAAAAATAAAAAATCTTCAGCCCAACCACATGTGAAAGGTCAGGTTTAAATATCAGCTGGGGAGTGGCAGGGGGAGACATAGCTCGAGTGTGTGTGTGTTTAGGGGAGAAGCAAAAAATAGAAGCCGACGCTCGGCATTCTGCTTGACTGTAGGCTTCTAGGTAATGGAGGGAAGCCTGCTCTTTCCAAGCTTTTCTCGTGACAGAAATAAGAGCTCACAGTATTAACTTACCACCAGTGAGTGAGAGCCGGCCTTTGGTTTATGCATGGTTGTGATGGACTGAGAAAGAGCCGGGTTGGAGACGGAGGAGCAGAGCCATCTCAGACCCCGGTTTTCCAGGGCTGTGAGCTGACCTTTGCGTTTCACTGCCCATCTCCACCCAACTTCCCAAACCAGTAGTAACATTTTGGCTGCTCTGTACCCTGCTCTGTAACATTTGGCTGCTCTGTGTCACGGCAGATGTTTGGGCCTCTGTGCAGCGGGCTGGGTACCCTCTAGAGGTTCAGCAAGGAGAAGATTGGATCCTTGTCCTAAAGAGGCTGCACCTGTATTGAATGGCTGAGATAACGCCAGAGGGGAGCATGACGTGCCCCAGAGTAGACTTATGTTCCACGCTGTGTGGGGGCCCATGGACAGGAAATGATTGTACTCTTGGGGAGGTGTGGGAGGAGCCAGTGCCTCTGAGAGGCAGGTGTGGTAAGGAATAAGGAGATCATTCTGGAAATCTCAGATTTAGAGCTGCACTGTCCACTACGGGAGCCACTAACCTAACTGTAAATGAAGTAAAAAAAAAAAAAAAGAAAAATCCAGCTCCATGTTAGCCATATGTCAGGTGTCCCACAGCCATGCGTGACTAGTGACTTTCACGTTGGATAGTCCAGATACCCAAGGTTTCCATCTTCACAAAAAGTCCTCCTAGGCAGTGCTGCTGCTTGGTCCAATTCTGATTCGCCGCAAAGGCTTGGTGTCTTCGAACGCAGCTGTGACTCAGTTCGGGGACTGAAGCTTCAGATTCTCTTACATCCAGTGAGTGATACTTTTATGTCGGTCTTTTCTTGGATCAGAGTGAGGAGCTGAATTCAAACATTTAAGAGATTATATGGTTCCCACCTTCTTCTAGGCATTCTTTTACAAAAGAAAAAAACAAAAACAACACAACCTTCCGCAAATTTCACAATGTCCATGAGAGCGGTCTGACCACATCAAGCTGATTTTCGTTGTACATTTTCCCAGTGGATAGCACTTTGTGATGCTTGAAATGTGATCTTTCTTCTGCTGGAACCTGGGTCAGGGATGGTGGAGGGTGGGCAGTGCCTCAGGTAGGGCTGCTGCGAGCCCAGCCTCTGATTCTCTCCCTTCTCTTTCCCCGCAGTGGGCGGTGAAATCCCCCTAGACATGCGGCTCGGGGGCGGGCAGCTGGTGTCGGAGGAGCTGATGAACCTGGGCGAGAGCTTCATCCAGACCAACGACCCGTCGCTGAAGCTCTTCCAGTGCGCCGTCTGCAACAAGTTCAGCACGGACGCCCTGGACCTGCTGGGGCTGCACATGAGTGTGGAGCGCAGCCTCCCGGAGGAGGAGTGGAAGGCGGCGATGGGGGACTCATACCAGTGCAAGCTCTGCCGCTACAGCACCCAGCTCAAGGCCAACTTCCAGCTGCACTGCAAGACGGACAAGCACGTGCAGAAGTACCAGCTGGTGGCCCACATCAAGGAGGGCGGCAAGGCCAACGAGTGGCGGCTCAAGTGCGTGGCCATCGGCAACCCCGTCCACCTCAAGTGCAACGCCTGCGACTACTACACCAACAGCTTGGAGAAGCTGCGGCTGCACACGGTCAACTCCAGGCACGAGGCCAGCCTGAAGCTGTACAAGGTAAGCCCCGGACTGTCTCTGGGAGGAGTGGAGCAGATCCCCCGGGTGACCATAAGGCTGGGGGCAGATGGACACTTCGTGCCAATAACTGGAGGGACTGGCGGCTGGCTGATGCCCTGGCATTGGGAGGGGGGGCTGATGACATAGTGGAGGGCTTCAGCTGGGAACTGAAGGGTCTCTCTGTGGGGTGCCTCATTGGGGGCCAGGTTGTATTTATAGCAGCCCGATACTATACATTGTTCCACATACCTTCCTTAGAACGGACTTCTTTCCTGACTCAAAATTGCCATTTCCTTAGTTCCCCCTTTACCTTTGTGCTCGTATGTTTCCCCTGCAGGCTTTCTGTTCTCCTTTTCCATCTGGTTATTCCCCCCAGTTTTTAGCCTCTGTTCCCTGAATGCCCCCTAGGGTGCTTTGTTTATTTGTTCATTCATTCATTTAAGAGATACATATTGAACCCCTCCCATACCCCAGGCCCTGTTCTGAGCCTGCATCCATGCACAAGGCAAACAAAAAGTCCCTGCCCTCCCAGAGAGTCCATTCTTTTGGGGGGATGGGTGATAGACAAAGTAAATAAATTATATGGTAGGCTAGAAGGTGGTGAGTACTATGGGGAAATTCACGGTCAAGTGAGGGGCCCCTTTATTCTTTTTTCCTGTTTGCCGTGTTCTATGCCTCTGTTCTCTTCCTCAAATTTTCATTTTTTTTTTTTTTTGCTGGGCTTCTCCTGCCTTCCTTCTCCTCCTGAGTCCTCTCCACCTCTCATTCCTTCATATCCCTCCTTCCTCACCCCAGCCCTCCTTTCTCACCCCTCCCTGCCCCCTTCCTTCTTCCCCTCAGTCCGTAGACGGTAACGAGGAGGAGGTGCTCGGATACTGTAAATAGTCCTTCCACTTGCACGGCAGAATTGCTCCAGACGTTTCTATTGATTTTCACTGGACTTAAAGCCTCACCTTTTTCTCTAATCATCCCATAATGGCTTTAGTATGAACAATCAGGTACAAATCGCCATAAATCTGCCCAGCCTCCCTTCACGTCCCTTCCACGCCCTCGCCCTCTCTCTCTCTCTCTCTTTCCCTCCCTCTTGTCATCAGTCTCTCTTTCCATTCACACCGATTCCCACATCTGTGGGCCAGTGAGCTCCGGGTTGCCCCTCACCCTGAGCTCCTTGAATCCCCTCTCTGCTTACGGTGATTTTAAACGGAGACTCCAAATAAGGAAGACCCTGATCCTGTCCCCACATCGGCCTCTGCTGAGATTGATAAGTGCGATTCATTTTATAGTCGCTCATTCTTAGCTTGTTCAGAGGCCTGTGTTACATGGATGAGAAACCATTTTTGGGAAAGGAGGAGAAAGCAGGCACAAGGTGGTGGGAATAGAATGTTCTGGAATTGACTGCTGACTCAGGCATGAATGGGCTCAAGGGGTGGGTGCAGAGGCGAGGGTCTAGACACCAGACAGCCAAGCCTGCCCTCTCCTCCGTGAGCTGGTCCCTCAGTGGTTGGCTTCCCTGACTGTCACCCTCGGAAGGAGAGGCTCCTGGCCGTCAGTTTAAATCAGAGGTTCTCACTGGCCACAGGGTGGTGCCGGTGTGGTCGTGAAAACCTGATGGAGATACCCATGGGGAAAAAAAATAGAGTTTCTTAACGACCCAACTGAGCAAAAATTAGTACGAAGGACTAGGTGCGGCCCTGGAAGGTCGTTTGCAGCTTCGAATGCTGTCCTTTAAAGGTGGCCTGAAGCTGGCCTCTTCCATCTGAGGAGAAGCGTTGCCTTTTAGGTTATAAAATGCGTGGGGGTAGTCACTAACTGTCCACACTAAGGCCCCCAGCAGGAGCAGCCTTGGCTTTGCTTCATTCCAAAGGGCCTGGAACCTGGGGGTTCACTGACTACATCCCTTGCTGGTCCCCACCCCTTGTCCTGTGGTCTCACTTGAGAGTCGGGTAGAGGTGGTGTTCAGGACAGCTCAAGTATCACCATTTGCTTTGCTCAGCTAGCCCCGGCTGCCCATCCTCCCCTGCCTTGTTCTCTCATCTGCTTTCCTAAGTAAAGATGGAGGAGTCTCCTGCTCGGAAAAGGCAGTGTCGCAGAAGTGAAGGTGTGGGGATGCAGGGTGGGGTGCGGGGACCAGCGCTCAGAGGAGAGGTGCCCGGGCAGTGTGTATGGCTGGCACCCGCCAGGGGTGACCTCCACCCACATTCAGGACAGAATCCCCCGGGTCAGGAGCCGAAGGTCGCTAGTCTGGTCTCATTAGTCCTTGGGTAACAAATGTCCCTGTGACTCTGCCATGGGGGGTGGGGAGCTCTCCCACCCACTCCCAGATGTGACCCGGAACCTTACCATTTCAGTGCCTGCCTCGAGGCCTTTCTGCCCCGCGATGTGACTAACATAAACTTCTCTCGCCACCAAGGGGGTCCCTCGCCCAGGGTCTTGTCAGTCCTGGGATTTGGGGTGGGGATCGGAGGTGGTTCGAGAGTCAGCTTTTCTCTAGGCCCTGGTGTGGCCTGTGGTAAATGGAGATTGATTGCATGTTATTTTTCCTCTTGCTAATGTAATCCATTAGCCCAGCACATGCATAATCAGTTTAGAGCACAGTTAACTGGATATAATCGAGTTCTTTACTGTCTGCTAGAGAAACAGCTCCAGATGCTGCTGACCCGGGGAGGGCCCCCAGCTTCTCACACACGGCCCTCCTCACTGCCCGCTTCCCCACGGCCCACCCTCACCCCTACCCTGCCCCCACCCCGCCCCACCCCATCTTGGTTCCTTGGCAAATTGCTCATGAATCGGTCAAGGAGATGCCCATGTGTGCCTTCTGCTGCATCTACTCAAGTGGCCATGATGTCTTCGACTTCCTCGCGGGTCTCCCACCCTCTCCTCTTCCTTTTCCATGCTTGAGGAGACAGACCAGCGGTCTCAGGGGACACTAGCAGAAGTGTGGCTTTCTGGTCTGTCACTGGGCCTTCAGACAGGTCCAGAGTCTCTCCCTCTTGGTGTCATAAATCCTGGCGCGTATGTTGCTGGATTAGGACTGAGCCGTCTGAAAGCATGAGATAATTTCTTATCCGGACACAGGAGAGGGTTGGGCTGATCAGCAAAATGGTGAAATGGGCGATACTATCTCTCTTGGCTGGGATTGTCTGGTTAGTTTGGATTATTGTGTGAGAGTGGTTTTTAAATCAAGATTAATGTTCATCGACTTCTACCTGCCTCCTGGAAGTAAAAGAAAGTAGGGTTCAGGTGGAGAGCCCTGGCATCAGATGGACGCTGTTTCCTTTTTTCTTGGCTCCCAGGTTAGTTTTCTGAAATGCTTGTGACTGAATTCCTCGAGTCTTTAAATACATTAAGTCCTCCTATGTATGAACAAGTTCCACTCTGAGAGGGTGTATGTAAGTCCAACCAAGTTAGCCTAGGTACCCAGCTAACACAGCTGGTGATATAGTACTGTACTGCAATAGGTTTATAATACTTTTCACACAAACATTAATAATACATTTTTAAAAAAACACAAGAATAAAACATTTAAAATCTTACAGTACAGTATTATATACTATAAGCTGTAACAGTTTACTATTACAGTACACCATCTGGCATCCAGGGGCGGGCATCAAGTGAACAGGCAAGAAGAGTTACTGATGGAGGGGGGAGAGGAGGTTGGAGACGGTAGAGCTGAAGGATCGTCAGCAGAAGGAGATGGAGGGCCGGCTGCAGTTTCCCTCATGCCTGACATTGATGGAGTGCACGTTCGCATCTTTGAAAGTTCACAACTCGAAGGTCCGTACGTAGCGGACTTATTGTGGTGGTGGCCCTGGTCCAGGCTCCAGTGGTCCTATGTCCACACCCTCGCGGCTGCCCTCGTGGGCGCTGTGATTGAGCGACACTGCAACACAGTGGCCTGGCTCGGGACCCCAGTCAGGCTTAGAAGCCGAACTCTTGGTTTTTTTTTGTCTACAGCCATTCATCAGAGCCAGAATGAAAGTGTGTTGTGGGTAAGGTGCTTGTCTCTCATGAGGGCTTGAGGTCCGGAAGGGGAATTCTGCACCTGACTGCTTTCCCACTTCTCCTGAAGGACCTGCTCCTGTGACCCACTCCTTCCCCCACAGCAATGCGGGGTACCCTTGCTTGGCTTAAATAGTGGGGGGCACCTGGTACTGATAATGCCCGCCCTCCACTCTCCTCCACGCTAGTGCAGATCATGAGCCATGGAGTGGGTTCAGGGCTCACATGAGCCATTCTGCATTTATCTGGACTTCCCTGCTGTCCCTGGCGAGCTCTGTGAAAGTTGAAGTGTTTTCTGCTTGGGGGAGGAGTGTGCCGAAAGGGCAGCTGGAGATCAGTGCACACCTGCCAGCTATCAGAATCTGGGTTTCGCTTTGATGTTTTTCTTCACCTGAGAGTCATTGGGATGGAAATCCATCAATTTGAGCAGATAGATTAAGACCCCCACCAGAATCTGTTACTCCAACAGTTCCCAGCTGACTTTCCTTTGATTGGGCCCAGCCCTAAGTTTTCATATTAATCTTAAGTTGTACACAAAGAGGCTTGTCTTCCCCCAGAATTGGGTCTGGACCCCATGTGGGTTGTGTTGGGCCCCCCAGGCAAACCAAGGGGGAGACACCAAGTCTCTTTGACCTAAACTAAGAAGTAGAGGATGGTACCAATTGACTGAAAAATAGGTACCCAGATTCTCTACATGGTGGACTTCGATGCTGTTTGGATCATTTGAGGTAGAAGGAAGGAAGAGACCCCCCACCAGACTCTGAATTACTTTGGAATCTGCCTTCCCAGTTGTTTCCCTCATGTGTAGGAAACTCAGGGTTCACTCTCCCAGCAGGGCAGTGAGTTCACCAAAGGATGGATGGACAGATCAGATGTATGACAAGTCAGACAGAGATTTGGTCTGAAGTTTGCATTCTTCATGCCCTCTTATGGGGTCTTAGGCACGCAGCTGCACACTTTGTGCCCACAGATGGTGACTGGCAGCCTTTGTCCTGCTTGGA